TGTCTGCTCACTGAAAGTGACTTCTTGCTTTCTATAAATTGATCTACATTTGTACATGGAAAAATCCGATTTGTAAGTTGAACCAAGAGGTTTAAGAATAATTAAGCTTTAAAGTGCATTTATACCAAGTGGAGAAACCTGACAGAGACCACCTTAACACCAAAGTTAGTACTGAAATGGGCTAGCTCATTGTGTGCAACTCCCAGGGTGATGTAGTGGGTGCATGTTGTCTTGGGCAGTGTTTCTGCCAAAAATGGACACTTTGAATCAAATCCTAAGGAAACATCAGACAAACCTGAGGAGAGGCACCTCCTACAAGGTCACCTGCTTGTACACTTAAAAATGTCAAGGTGTTTGAAGGCACTGAAAGGCAGGGAAACTGTTCAAGATCAAAGGAGATTAAAGAGATGTGACAAACAATTGCCATGAAATTATGAATTAGATGCTAGACCAGGGAGAAACATGTAACAATAAAATACATCGGCACAACTGACATTTGATTTTTGGCAGTAGATAATAGTTGGGACAATGTCACATTAATTTTAACTGTAATATAGTTTTTCAAGGGAAAATGATTTAGAAAAAGAAATTTACATCTGTCCATCAAGATAATAAAATAAATAAGGCAAATGTCAATAATTAGGTAATCTAGGTAAAGGGTATATGGGAGGTCTTAGTACTGTTCTTGTAATTTTTTTCAAGTCTGACTTGTAAAAAGTTACAGAAGAGCTCAAAACTTATCCTGATTACACATAGAACACACATTTGTATAAAATGTTACTGTATTTGGGGCCAGGGAAATAGCTCAGAAGAATAAGTGCTTGCCTGGCAAGCCCAAGGGCCTGAGTTCAATCCCTGGTTCCACCCAAAAAAAAAAAAATAAAATGTTACTGTATTCAAGTTACTGTACAGACTTTTCTATACCCAAATGCCACCGTCAAATATCCTCAAACTTCACACACACACACACACACACACACACACACACACACACACACAAATAAGCATTGTCTAGCAGGAATCTCTAACGCCTGGCACATTGCCATTCTCACGTTGTGGCATCCACCCTGAGATGGCAGCAGCCTGAATCCAAGGAGTGCTAATAGCCTGCTGCCCCACTCCAGTGTCTTTGCTACCATAGGAAAGAATGATTCACATTTTTCCTGCACTTTCCATAAAGGAAAGTGCAGGAAAAGTCCACACACATGTGGTAATGCTGGCCTTTGTATTCACCCGACCATCAGTGAAGCAAAAATTCAGGGAAGTCCCATCAAGTCTCCATGGAGCACACCTCTTAGTCCTAGTGCTTGCCTCCAAATACACATTTTGCTTGCTTGTGCACAATCTGTGCCAACTTGCTGTTTTAATTTTTAACTTTATTAATTCTGCCCGCTCCAGCGTGTGCCAAGCATGGAAAGGAAAGCCAAAAGCTTTGCTCAGAGTCATGCACAGAGTTCTCTCAGACACAGCGAGATGCTGAAGATCTCTCACTTAGCTAGGCATGGGCCATCAAGAGGCAGACAGTGTATTTTCACAAAGATAGGTTTGGGTAATGGTGGAAGGGACTCAGGGTTTATTTGTTTAAAGAGGCTGACGATTGCTTTTGGTGTATGTGGACTACAGGGAACTTCCCACTTTCAAAAATGTAGCAAGTGGTTCCCATTGGGGCACCACACTTAACACTCTTGAGTTTGACCCTCTCCAAATATTTCTAAAATTGTCAGAAGGCAGGGTCTAGTGGACCTGCTATTCCATTGGCCCACAAACATCTGGCCTCTAATGGGGCCTCCTCTCCCATGACTGCTGGGAGGCAAAAGTAACACCTCCCGGGACAAGCTAGCATCCCTGCTCATCCTCCCTGTCTCCTTCACAGGAGGAGAGCCGGGCAGGGGTAAGGAGGGATTCTCCCAGTGATAGGCATGACTATAGTTGGAGAATCCTCCCCCAGTTGGTACTCAGGCATTGCTGTAGGCACCTCTCCTACCATTTACACATCTTGAGATCTGGCGCCATTAATAATGGCAGTACTGACATGAGACTCTCTTAAGAAGCAAAGTGTAAACTGCAAATAGGTTTAATCCATACACTGTTACTAAAATAAGAAGTGAAACATTATGTGTACTGCACTAGAAAAATCTCTTAAGCTATACATGCTCACTCTTTGATTCAACACTTCTAGGAAAGTGTCCTACAGATTTATGTACAAGTGAAATAATGAAGATATCAGTGCCATCATAGCAAAAGACAACTTACATATGCTACCAAAAAGAAGTGTTTCAATAGAATACCCTACCCATGTGCACTGGAATAGTGGACCACTATGAAAAAGGGGGAAAACATTTTCTATATTGGGAGGCCTCCTGGATCCCTTTTTAAGTCTAAAGAAGGTGCACAACTTGGGTACAGACAATGCTATATTTTGACATGGAACAACAAATTTGTAGACTGGGCATGGTGGAGCACGCTTATAATCCCAGCACTTGGGAGGCTGAAAACAGGAGGATCACTATGAGCCCAATCTGTGTAGTGAGACACTGTAGACCTGGTATTAAAATAAAAAACAACCATATTTGTAATTGTCTATAAAAGATACTTCAGATTAGTAATAGTGTTTGCTCACAAGGTAGTGAGGGGGATGTATAACCAACCTATGGTAGCTATGAGTCTTTTCATTGTTTGCTCCTCTAGATTTTCATTTTCAAATCTTATGAATGCATTATATATTTAGAAACTAAATCGGGTGTGGTGGTGTGTGCCTATAGTCCCCACAGCTGAGAAAGGAAGGCTACTTCAGTGCAGAATTCAGGGTCAGCCCAAGCAGCCGGGAGACCTCCATCTCAAAATAAATAGGTTCAAATGAAATGAAATAAAACAAATTACAGTCCAATTGACACGTTTTGTAACATAACTGCGTGCTTTATTGAGATACACAGTAAAGCAGTAATATAATACAATAGTAAGGCATATATTTGGTGAAGTCTGATATGTTGTGAAAATGCAATAAAACTGAAGTTTAAAAAAATAATTAGTAAATGTTACAGTGTTGGTGTTAAAACACAATCTATTATGATACTCAAGTAAGAACCCAGTACCTGAAAACAATGACATAACATGCCATGTGATGTTTATGCTTCAGTTACATTGACTATGATTTACAGTTTAATACTCAGTGGTTATAAAGAACACAAAATATCCAAATTAAGCTTTAAACTCAGCAATAAAGCTTTCAGTTTTTATTCAAATATTTTGACAGACTCACTCGAGAATTAATATCTAAAAGATAAAAGAAAACAAAGATTAAAACAAAATTATGCACACTACCTCTGATTTTAAAGTGAAACTGAAAACTCATTAGGCTGTAAAGTAACCCCTTGCTTTAAATCTTGATTAACACAAATCTGTGAGTATGGGAAAAGCCCAGCATCACATAAAGGAATAAATCTAAGACTAAAACCAAATCTCCTTGTAATTTCTTACCTTAGAGCTTTGGGTTTTCTTTTGAAAATCATAAAGGAAAAAGAAAATGAAAACTGTTCACACAATAGACAAGTGAAGCTGTGAAATCAGGTGTGCACAATTACAAGGAACACCCCAAAACCAAAGTGAGGTAGAAATAGCATGAGAAGCTGTGTTTGATGTTAATTATCATTAATGAAATAATGGACAAAACCCACTCTCCAAAAGTTAATTACACTTGATGGCAGAGTAACAGATTTGCAAAAGAACAAGATACACAATAATTTCTACTGAATTAATGATCTTTTAAAAATGAAGGAGTCATAAAATGACATGAAAGAGTAAAGCTTTTTCCTACCAGTCCTTAGCTTTCCCTCATCTCCTTTTCTCCTCCTTTTCAACAACTGTGTTTGTTGATGTTTTTACCACTTGCCTAATTCCCCAGAAAGGATGTGGAGAAGCTTTTGCTTTTTGAAACATTAGAATCGATTTCTCTTCCCACTTACAAAGCTACGTGGAATTAGTTGCAGAGAAATGCAAAAGGGAGAAACACAGCTCATGGGCTTCTGGATTGGCATTTATCAGTGTCACAATGTGATGGGACTACTGTCTAATACATTTTTCCAAGTTATTTTAAATGAAGTCTTGCAGCATTTAAAAACACACTGTGATGGGCAAAAATCGAAAGAGACAAGAACATCACAACCACCCACTTCTGTGTAACTGTGAGATGAAGGCGGAATCAGCTGCGGATAGAGAGCGTGCATATGGATGGCTATGAACATTCCCCCGAAGCTGCACTGCAGGCTCGGCCGGCCGGGGCTCTGCAGCTTCCCAAGCCCTACCGTCATCCTCCTACTGCCTGGGAGCTAATTAGCCTTGGAGTGCATGGACTTCCACAGCAGCATCATTAAATCTACACTGTGGCACAGGCAGCAACAGGAATCTGAATATGTCACCCAACAGATAAAAGTGACACAAGTCTTGTGTATTCATTCACATGTTCCTTTTTAAGACAAAAATCAGTACTCTAGTTGTCAGCAAAAAGTTTAAAGTGAGAAATATCTGGAGCCCCAGATATTGTTTTAGCATGGCAGCTCCCTCCTGGCTTCAGGCTCCAGGGGCAATTCATCCTAGACCAAGTAGGTATGCCTGGATGACTAGAAACATCTTTTTTTCATCAGAAAGTGGTAGGAACATTTGAAGAAATGTAAAAAGGTCTATAGAAATTCATATCTATTTCTCTATATACCTATAGTATTTATATACTTATAGACATATAGATGTGTAATATGAGAGCACATCGCCAGCCCCAGTGAACAACTCTCAAAAGAGCAACATGAAATAAGTCATTTGGTGGTGTTAGCATAAGTCCTACCTTTAAAATGCAAGAAAAGAAAAATGCCATGAATTTCATATGAATATCACGCTAAAACAATGCAAAACAATGTGCTGCCTCAGTGTGTGTGTGTGTGTGTGTGTGTGTGTGTGTGTGCGCGCGTGCATGTCTGTGCACATGTGTGTGTTTGTTTTTAGGGGTTTTTATAAACAACTTTTTTTTTATAAAGCACACTTTAGTTTACAATCTTTCTTTATAACTGTTATAAATTTTTAAACAACCCAAAATGCGTTCCATATAAAGAAATGGCAAGTTATTTAGCTATCAAGATTTTACATGTAGTTTTCTTATAACTTTTTGTACAATTGCATAGACGTGTAAAACCTGCCATTGTTAACAAAACAATAACAGACTTAGAAACTACTGAAATCTACAGTATAGTACCACTACCCTTCACAAAAATATAGATTTTATTTCTTGTAAACTCTTACTGTCTAATCCTCTTTGTTGTATGAATATTATAAAAACCATGCGGGAATCAGGAGTTGTAAAACATTTATTCTGCGCCTTCTTCATCTGTCATGACTGAAACTAAGGACTCCATTGCTCTGTTCAAATCATCTGCCATGTGGAAAAGGCTTCCTACATTGTGTCCTGAAAAACAAAAGGGAAAAAGAAGACTAAAAAAGTGAAGGGCTCATTCCAGTGATTCTTTACCATTGAGAACATCATTCCCCACTTTTGGGTGAAGACAACACAGAAGGTGCACTTGAACACAAAAGGGTTTGAATTGCACCAGTTTCCAGGAAGAAGCAAGGCTTGTTAATGAAGCATCTCACACTGTTAGTACCAGCTCAATACTGGATCAGGATAACGGTGTTGTTTAAATGGAAAAAGGGCACACTCATCTTGCCAATGAAAAGATGTTGTCAAAAGGGTTCCCTGGTTAATCACATGATGCCTGTCACAGCAGGAATATTTCAAGATGGGAGATGCCTTTTCTACTTGGTGTATTTAGGGCTAAAGTGTACTCACGATTTTTTTATACGGAATTGTCACCACTATAACGATCACCCCCCTCATCAGTGCCAGGCCCACCCACTCTACCACTGCCTTTATTCTCAGCATGGCCACCATCACATAGCACACGAATCTTCATGGTGCAAGCTGTGAAGGGTGGGGGGATGATGGTGGAGGTAACCATTTTCCTCTCTGCTTTTATTTGGTTGAAGAGTAAACTTCTGAGTTTACCTATTCATACACTCATAGCATTTGAAGAAGAAAGCTTCAGAGTAAAAATCAGTCATTCCAAATTACCCCAGTGCCTAATTATAATATGACCCAAATGGATTACATAGATCTTGTGAACCTATCTTTGATCTCTTTCTATATCATGGTTAACTATCAGAATAGTCTTTTTTTTTTTGGTGGAACCGGGGATTGATCAGACCCTTGTACTTGCCAGGGAAGAGCTTATTCTACTGAGCCATCTAACTGGCCCCCAGAACAGTCTTTTAATAATAATAATAATAATAATAATAATAATAATAATAATGTGGCATGACATAGCATTCATCCTCCAGCATGGAACACAAGAGCAACATGATGTCCCTGAGTACTCTGTGGCAAAGTTCAGCTGCAGAGTAAGATAATCTGAGGCATTATGAACTTCCTTTTCTTGTATGTCCCATATTTTTATAGGGCTAATTTTCATTCTTGCACATTGGTAAATCATTCTGCTCTTCAAGTCCTGCTTCTGGAACTGACATGCTTTACTAGGCTATTATGACTTTGCCATGTATCAACTTTACAGAACCTCATAATAATTGTTTAAAATCCCAATAAAAATTAAAGATAGACTAAAGCAGGTTCTCTGTTCTAATATATTTCAGGTCTTTTTTTAAAATCAAACTTGGAAGAGGGTTCTTGGGCAGACCTTTAAACAGTAATGGCCCCAGATCAAATTGAAGACTTATTAAAAGTTTAATGCCACTCAAGCGCTCATATTAAGATGATCAAGTTTGTAAATCTCTGAGTTTTATTAGTGCAAAGGGTTTCAGTAAGAGCTAATTATCTTTCTTAAAAAAATCACTTTGGATTTTAGTTGAGACTGCAAATATAAAAATTTTAAACAAAACACAGTCTTCATAAAATGAACGAGTAGTTTGGCAGCCTGTAATAAAACAAATGAAATCATCTTTGGTTTTTCTATGCTTTTAAAACCACAGGAATACACATGGCGTCCAACGCTACTCCTTGGAACTCTGATTACAAATATGTGTCTTAAATTTCCCTTGTATCTTATTTCTGATTGTGCATCTATTCTAGGAAATCAGCCCAATTGCTCATGCGTAACTGAAAATGGACACACGGAGTGCAAATTCTGAATTACTAGCAATGTTAAAAGATATTAACAAAGCAAGTGGAAACATTAAGGTATTCCATTTGGTAGCAATAAAATGTATTATAAAATGTAAAACAACAGAGGGAAAGGCCTGCGAGATACAACTCAGCAGACTAAAGCGCCTTCTTAGGCAAGCTTAGGCAAGCACAGAGACCACGGTTCAATGCCACATCACATGCTGTGGCAGCCCTGCCCCCAGGGCGGGCTGAGCTGGCCGCGGAGTCAGGGCATAGTAGAGAATGCCTGTAATGCCAGCACTGGAGAGGCTGAAAACAGGAGGACCACTACATGTCCGAGCTGTGTAGTGAGACCCTGTAACAACCCAATACATTTTTCAAAAATGAATTCAGTTTTTCCTGTCAGCTTATTGTTAATAAAGTGGTCTCCATGTGCAGTGCAATCTAGACTTGAAAAAAAAAAAAACCATAACAATCTGGACTTGAGTTCATTGTGTAGCCCAGGCTACCTCAGATTTGATGTGATCCTTGTGCCTCAGCCTCCTTAACTGTGGGACTACAGGCATGCACCACTACATCTAGCAAAAAGTACCTTCTTAGATTGTATACTACATGAAGTGAACCGCAGTTCAAAAGATAGTTTAACACAAACATATTTACAGATTGCATATCTAGGTGATGCTTCTATTCTCTGGCTATTCAGTTTCTATCTGGAAGAAAAATTCTTATGCCTCTAAACAGGTCTAAGTTCTAGGGCTATCATCTATTTAAGAAATTTCGCGAGGTAAACAGAGGCTCATTATTCTTATATACCCCACATATGCCCACAAAATGTTGGGTGGCCTTTAACCTGTTTTAGACTATTCAAAGTTCACAACTGACCTTGTAAACCATTCTTATGCTATAAAAGCAAATAATTAATTACCATATCTACATTAAGCTCTTGGTGACCTCATTTATAAATACCTGTTTCACCATAATGTTGGTTCCATTTTATTTTATTTTTTTCCTCTGTGGAGGTTTTCATTTGATCCAGAAAAAACAAAACAAAAATCCCTCTCTTTGACCAAATATTGCTCCAAAGCATCATACCTCAATCCAGTGGATGATAAAACTGCACGGTGACATGGACATAGAAAACCAGATTTGTATCTTGCTTCTGTTATCCACAAGTGGAAGGCAGAACATCAGTGGGGTCATTAACTTTACCTGACAGATTTGTTCTAAAGTCAAAATTAAAATCTCATACTATGAATGTAAGGGGCACTGAAGAGCAGCCAGGATTCAGGCATTTGCAATCAGCTTCAGGCACAAGTTGACACAAAAATATGCCTATCGAAAGTATTAATTGAATCCATTCTTAAGCAAGGATTATTGAACACAAAGGCAGCATACATTGAATATTAGGGCAGTTTTATGTGTTTCCAAGTTGGCCCAAACTGCAACACATCTAGTCTCACAAGCCACCACTGCCTAAGGGAGTTGTTTTCCACAATGATTGGAACTGAGACTTTCTGGCAAAGGTCCAAGACCTCAATAGCAATCTAGCACTCTTTTTTTTTAAAATACAATTCCCATATAAATGGTTAGCATTCAATTGGCCAAAGCCAAGTCAGAATATCACAGTGAAATTTGCTTGTCTTTTCTTCTCTATAATTTAATGTCTGAAAAAAGAAAATGTGGTCTACTGTGAATTTTGGGTGTTTTCATGGCATAAAAAAAGTTATTATTATTTTGACTCTCTAGCTTCTGGAAACTTACCTATCATCTATCATACGCCTAAGATAGTAGTCTCCCAATGCCTTTTTTCAAAATGTATTTGGTACAGGGTCTCACTAAGGAGCTTGAACTCGTAGTGATCCTGTTTTCAGCCTTCTCAGCACTGGGATTACAGGCTTGTGCCACCACACCCAGACTGGGTCATTGGCTCAGCCTGCCTGGGGACAGGGCCAGTGTAGCATGTGGGACTGTGACTTGAAACCCGGTCCCTATGCTTGCAAAAGCAGGTGCTTAGTCTGCGGAGCTATCACTCAGGCCCTTCCAAATGCTTTTGTGATGTCAATTCTACATGTTGACCTTTAAAAATTTTGTTTAGGAACAAAATATGTTTGAAGGGAGTGACAAAATTACGATGTAACTTTTCACAGAAACTGAAAATAAAATTTAAGGCACATTTACCATAAAAATTAACCCAAGAAGTCTTACATATGAGGTACGAGAACTAGGAACATTCAGTGCTTCACTGATTCTGGTTTGCTTAATTTTTGTTCCCAGTCTACCACCACTCTTTGACTGGCACCCAATTCCTAAAGCCTTGGCCTTAAGGGAGAACTGAGAGTTTCAAACAGATACACTGAGGATCCTTAAGTTCATCAGACTTGCATGCTGTGGTGTTGGAAGATTTTTAGTATAATTTCTTCTGTTTCAAAGAATCAGTGGCCATGCTAGTCCATGCCATTGCTAAAGATCCATAATCGTCTCATATAAAAACTTTCCACCCATCCAGCTTTTATCTTCCACAACAACATGTGCTATCGGCATCTGACAGGAGTGTGTTCCTTCTCCCTCCATCACATTAAGCTCTTGGCAAGTATAATTTTGTTTCACTTGGGCTGTGTGACTCCACACTTTGGCGACCCAAAAGACCCTTGATTAGGTAATTCAGTGTTCAACAAAATATTCCCAGTAGAAGGGGAGTAAGGAGCAACTTTCACTGTAAAAGCCCAAATCACATCTGGTGATAACGTTGTACCTGCCCTTTCAACCCCTGAAGAAGCATTAATAAAATCCTCAAAGTTCCAACATTTGTATTTTTCTAACTCGATCAGTTATCTTTCTATCTGGCTCCAACTGCCAATGAACGAGAGGTGGCTTCTCAGAGGCTTGTTGAGATGTCACGAGCCGCTCTTTAGCATCACTTTCTTAGGTGGTCATGCTGTGTCAGAGTTATAGAGTGTAGTTCTGCAATGGGGTTGCTTGGAGGCCAATCTGGTTTGGTTGCCTTGGACACACTGCTTACCCTTTCATTAATTCAGTTTTCTTATCTGTAAAATGGGGTTAGAAATAGTACCTACCTCATAGATTTGTCATGAAGATTACATGATGGAAAAAAATAGCAAGAGCTCAAAACAGTGCTTGGCACTATGTGCTAAAAAATAAAAAAAATGTTAGGCTAAATGGGAAAGAAAGGGTGTGGGAAGGAGATAGGGGAAGAAAACAAAAACAAAGTGAAGTCATCCCAGAAGCACATAACCCATGGGCACTGGCAGAAAATTCTACCGTCCTGGAACTAG